ATTGATGCACTTAGAATTGGCTATAGTAGTCCAAAAATGGACTGCAAACTTCGGCCGCATTTCCATTCACAGAAATATTTTGTCCAACACCACAACAGTTCGTATGTGTACGCGAATCAATCAGCGTTGTTACGTTGGTTTTGAACGGTAGCACATAGCAAGGCGGTGAGAAATTCGTGGTCAATAAGTCACGCACACCTGAATAGGTGGCACAAAAACCGCCGATGGTGCCGATCACTGAAATTAAGTTGAAATGAACGATTTCCAATTCTGATCATGCCTTAAATCAGTGCAGTTTCTAGTCTTGAACGAATAACCTTTCTTATCACAGCTAACATTGATAAGCAGAATGCAGAATGTTCATAAAAACCATTTGATTAAAGTATCTTTTTATGTCTTCTTTTCGCTATGTTAATGCTTCACTTGAGGGTAGTGATAAAACCATTTAATGATTTATTTGCGAATGGCCTGAAAGGAGAATAGGAGTGTGAGTGGAATGCGGATTATGGAACACTTACGTAAGATGATAGTGCAGATAAGAAGATGAAGTTTCGGTGAGCGTTTCACTACTCTGCAAAAAAAGAGCATATTAAACTTTGTTCTGCACATTTGCTGATGTTTTCTGATCGTCCATCAGAAAAGATTCAAACAGTGCCATAGGGTATTTTATTGGAAAATTAAGCCCAAATGTCTTATTTCTAATGCTGAGACCAAGTTTCTCGTTAACAATTGCATGCAACAAGGTTCTTAACTTTCCGAGTTTCACCTAGGTAACATATCCAGAGATTTTGGTATTCAGACAATTTGATCGACCGTTTGATCGCGTCAAAAATCGTAATTTGCATGCTTTGACCCAAACGATCATGTAAAATGCTAACACTGATGAATAGTATTGGTAAGCATATTAATCTGACTTATAACGGAAGAGTTTAATGAGTATTTTGGGCCAAATAATGAGGTGCAAGCGAAACACGTAACGGACTCAATAAAACTGGGAATTTCATAGTTGTCGCCAGTGTTCTTTTCAGGTGTGCGTTTATCAATGACCACTAAATACAAATAGAAGAAACACGGGAATATGAGCGATGTCAACGACATCGTCGATCCACCGACGATACTCATTAAAGGGCCAAAGTCCGGCACAGTTTCGGCAATAAACACAGCCGCCAACATCACACCTGTTCGCACAGCCACTCGCTGCCAGCAAAAGTCTGAAATTTCGTTGCTTCTTCGATTTCCTCTTCTTTTTCAGTTTCGAATTTGAGTCTCCTCTTTTCCTCGGTCAATTCTTTCACTAACTGATAACAAACTTAGGGTTTTTTGTCCTTTACGTGAATAACTGACAGTTCGGAGTGTTTAACTGATTAGTATACTGATCAGTATGAATGACAACAACAAGCACATAAACCTTGTTGATTTCTACAGAATATTTTTTCCGCCATGAATTACTAAATTTTGAAATTCCAAATGAAGATTTTAAACTCCAACAACTGACGATTCACTAAGACCAGTTTAGTCATTTAATTGAAATTTTTGATGTTCTCCTCCAAATTGACGCGAAACAAAGTGCAAAATGAAGTAGTTTCTTACGTTGTGGTACTTTGCATATTTCTTCAATATCCTGATTTAGAGGATTCATAATGATAGTCAA